CCCCAAAACCCCAAAACCCCAAAACCCCAAAACCCCAAAACCCCATAGTTTAATATAGTAATAAAATAAGAAGATAATAAGATTTATAAAATTTAAGCATATTATAATATCAGAATAATGAAATTGAACTTTAAGCGTAGATCTGAGATTTTCAATTCAGCTCCCTCAGATTTTAACTAACTGAGAGATGAGATTTTCTCTGCTAGGAAACAGCTTAAAAAACTCTTTAAGCCTTAAATAATTAACAACATTTAAAATAATAACCTAATATTTAACAAGGAAGAATATCAGATGGTGTATCACGATAGTGAAGAAGACTCGCTTATAATAAGTGAAGATGAAGATTTGTTAGAAGCCATAGATTATTCTCAAAAAAGAGGCAAATAGTACTTAGTAGTAGACTTAATAGATTTGAGTACAGGTGAACTAGTTATGCTAGATGAAGATAATCTTTCAGAGTCTTAAATTTACAGCCAGATTAGTAAGGTTAATGAAGACTCCTATTACCATCAGTAAGACAATAGTAATTATGCACCAGTATAAGAGTAACAATAGATTCATAAAATTGAAGAGACATCACTTGAGAATTCATAGTAAATACTAAATTAAAGCACTTTAAACAATACAATTCTACAACAAAAGCATTAACTGCTGCCCTAATAATTGGAACAAGAACTGCGCAAATAAATAAGAGCTCAAATCTAAAATAAGCTTAAGCAGGAATACATGAACCAGACAAATGCTATTAATGAGAGCACAGTAATATCTTAGTTCTAGAGTTAGAATCTAATATAAAGTACCAATACTAATGATAATTTGATCTTGACTGAATTAAAAAATGAGATAAAATTATTAGAAGATAAAGAGTAAAAATAAATAATTGTGAAATAAGAAATAGTAGAGCCTCAGATGGAAAAGATAATTATTAAACATGGATAAAATGCAAAGCAATCAAGCCCTGAAATAAACTAAGATTAGAAATTAAAGTTTTCCTAAGAGATGTTTTCTGTTAAAAAAGCATAGCCTATAATGATTTAGATTAACTCCAAATAATCTCTCTAACTGAAATGGATCATTATAAATAAGTCAGATCAATAATGGGCAGCCACACCAGAACTCAAGAATATACAAGACCAAGAGACCTTTCATTATTAGAATATTAGCGATAAACTATTGCAACCAGGAGAGGAAATAGAGCTAGTTTACGAATTATAACCAGAGGATCTTTAAAAGTAGGAAGAATAATTTATCAATTTACAACTATACTTTACAAATCCTCAAAAGAAAGGCAAAGAAGTGAGCAAAGCTTTTATTGTTGTACTTGATAAAGGTACTACTTAATGATAAATAGATTTAATATCATGCCAAACCAAAGCAAAGGGTATTAGGAATCTGGAATAATAATTTTTATCTATAGATTAATTTATCTAGAATTTATCTACATCTCAAAATATTGGGGTTTTGGGGTTTTGGGGTTTTGGGG